GAAAATATAGATAATAGTAATGCAATAATTCACAGAGACAGCACGGTAAAATGCAAAATGTAATTTACAATTATTGGATGTTACAAATCAAACTGCAAATCACCTCCAGTCATGTTATATTTTACCAATTTATGCATGTATACATTTCTGCCATATATGTATACATATATTTTATTTAAGCATGCATTTATTTTGTGCCTTTGCTTTATTTCATCCTCGTGAAGGAACGAAGATATGAACTGACACTCTAATGCTCTCTTTATCAACAATCAGGTTTGTGAAACTGTTTTACAGTCCAAACCTATAAAATTAAGAGACCATGCTCTTCTCAGGACAAAACAAAACAAAACCTACCCCGCTGTTATCTGCACCAAGACAAAATATTAGTCCAGCTTCTCCTCTTTCCCTGTAACTCAGGTTTCTTCCTCCGGTAAAGGATTTTTGGGTCTAATTGTCAAGTGAATGAGCATAAGTATCATGAGTGATTGTAGGATGGAGCAGGAGACTGACAGGCAGACTGAGGCAGCATCAGCAGTAAAGTACACGCTGTACCAGACTGTCGTAGTGAAGAGGCATGATGCAGAAGGCAAAGCTCTCCTGTCTGACTCTCCCCCTACGATCCTAAGCTTACAGTAGAGACTGACGGAACAAGACAGTGGATATCTGAAGACAGATAGGTTTCCTCTGCGGTGTGACTGAACTCAGCCTTAGAGATAGAGCAGAGAGCTGTGGTATCTGAGGGAGAGCTCAGAGTAGAGCCGCCGTACTCCGTCTCACCAGAAGGAGTCAATTGAGGTCATTCGGCATCTGATTTGAATGTGTTGCAAGTGAATTCCAATGAAGGTCTTCTCTGTGCGTCCAGCTTTTAAGAGGTGACAGGCTAGACTCAGAACACACTGGAGAAATCATACATCTTATCTGGCCTGGGACTGGCTTGAAGATCCTCCGGGAGGAACTGGAAAACACCTGGGAAGAGGGATGTCTCGGCGATACTATGACCTTCTGCCATCCCAATCCTGGTTAGGCAGCAGAAAATGGACAGATGGACAGATGGATGGATGGGCAGATGGATGGCTGGATGGCTGGATGGATGCTGAATTTCTGTGTCAGTAAAAGAACACTGAGTTCTAGCAGGGATGAGGTCATTTGTCTGTTACAGTGTTTTGTAGGGATGGGTCTGAGTCTAAAATAAAAGCAGGGTGGATTAACTGAGTGGCTGCGCTCCATCAACAGCACCAGATATCAGGGTGGAGACCAGGAGTCCCAGGCAGGGCAAAGTCCGTTCCCTTTAATTAAACATGACAACTACTCTGTGTGTGTATGTGTGTGTGTGTGCAGTTCCTGGAACATAATTACTCCGGGGCAAAATATTTTTCTGAGAACATTCTAAAATGTTTGTTACCAAGAATGATCTCTTGATCTGACTGTGTCAACATAATTTACATTTATTTGCATTACTATTTATCATATGCACAGGGGCTGGAAAAACCTAAAGCCATTTATAATACGACCTCCTAAGACAGATCTACTTTCCGCATTGGTGATGCTTATTTCTCTAGTTCACCTTTTTTTTCTTCATAAGATAAAGTAGCATTTAATAAATGCATGGAACAGAAATCAGACAACATTCAAATTATCACAGTAATATGTTGTGCACAGTTTACTTTCCAAGTCCAATTCACATCAGCATTATTTAGCACTTATGTTTGGAAATTTGGGATTTCACATCATTGTGCTGCAAGTATGAACTGAAAAATAAAATCAAACTCGTTTTTCATGGTAAAATGAAGTCCTTTCTGTAAGTAATATAAAAATATCATCAATGAGTACCATTTTTAAGCCCGATGTTGACTATAGATTGTTGAAATAAAATGCACAGGTCACGTAATGGTTATCTGTTTGCCACAGCTGATGCAGCATTGGTTTTAAGATTTGATGGAATTTATGAGCCAATCATCTGCCTACTTTAAATATTTTTACCAGCTCTCTTCATCCATTAAACATGCCAGCATTGCATCTATGTATTCATTTTTCACTGGATGTGTCCATGTTTCCAGCCTGAGAACCTAGTGAATCAAATATGCACTACATGTGAAACAGGAACAGTGTTAGCCACAGGCCTTGTCATGCACTGATTTAAGGAGCTTAAAATACAGGAGGGAAATGAATGGTACTTGACTGAATGAGCAGTGACATCTCATCAAGTATAGACATCTCAAGGAGTCAGACAGAGATCAGGTACGTACATTACCCTCCTTTTGTGTTGGGGTCAAAGCAGGCACATTTTTAAATTTAGATGTGTGAAAGATATCTTTATTTTTCGGATCAAACCACAGCTTTGATGCATTCTCAACAATGGCTTGCTGAATACAAGAAATCACATCAGTGTTGCAAGATGTTTTCGTACCTGAGAATTAAAATAGGGGGAAATTATTAGAATGAGAATAATAACTTCTAATACTGTCACTAAATTAGTGACATTTTGTAATTATTGTATTTACTTTGTACAGAGAAAAAAAAATTGGGCAAATTGGGCAACACTGAAACACATTTGATAACTGCTTTGAATACAATGAGTTGCATATATGGGTCAAATTTGGTTTTAATTATGAGTTATTAATTATTATTTATGCAGAGATTTACAAAGTGAATGTTGGCAAACCACCATGAATAACAATAATTACAAAAAAGCAATATAAAATAATAAAAAATCAAAGTAATTCCAAAATTAGGGATTATTTAACCA